GTTAGATTTAATAAAAAAATATGTATAATACAAAAAATATATAATGTAATTATATAAAATATTTAAATTGTGTCTAATTCTAGAAATTAATTAATATTTATTAATTCATTTTTCTTTAATAAATATAATAATAAATAATTAGTTGATTTATGATAGTCAAACTTATTCTTTGCATCTAGTTTAATATTTGTTAATTTAACTTTAAAAAAATAATTACAAAATTTATGTATTCTAAATTTAATAATTTTATGTTAAAAAAAATATAGATATTTAATATTTTGAAAACGTATCAAAATAACAAATAATCATAAAATTTAGACGCGAAGGTCGCTGACCGCCAGAATTCATTGATCGTCGGAGTGTCCACAGGAAGGTGGAATTGTGCATCGATAATTAAATTACTGTCAGTCGAGTGTGCAACCGCGACTCAAATGAGTTTTGCGACAAAAGCGGCTTGTTATTTTGAAAAACGTTTTTAGTAGCCAATAATTGTTGAACGCGTAATCGCACTTTGACAGCCGCATTTGGTTTTATTGTCTTCGATATTATTCCACTTTTTTGCATAACGTATTACTTGTTATTGTAAATGTATTAAGAGAAAAATTTTATATTTTATTATTCTTATGATTTTCTCGTTACGATGATTATTTTAATGTAAAAGGAAAAGCTAAATAAGGATACATACCCTCGTTTGCGCTCCGCTGCGGCTGTACATGATCAATCCATTGGGCTCGTTCGTACGAATTTTGAAGGATATAGTCCCGGTCTTGGCGGCTTTCCAGGGTGGCAGAACCTGAAACAAATGAGACAGATGGTTTCTACTACGTCGCTTTGGAGCCTAAGGAGAAAAAGAAGCGGTGTGGAAGAGCGAAGAAGCCGCGTCGTCCTCGAGGAGAATGGACGAGCTAGCCTTGTCGTGCCCAGCATCCACAATCTCTACGTGCAATCTTACGAATCCGCCATTCATCATAAAGCTCTTGAAAGAATCAGATCACTCGTTTAGGCATGAGCGACGGCGGGTGAAATCATCGCAACCGGTATAATAGTGGCTTACAGTGACGATCGTGGACGTTTATTTATGTGCTTATTTAAAATGTCGCAAGTCGATATCTTAAATTCATGATTTTTTTTAAATAGCCCTCACCATGGATTCAATCGATGCAAATTATAAAATTTGGGTAACTATAATTAATATCTATTTAAAATTTTCTAATTTTTCTTAAAAATTTCGACTGCAGTTCTATTGCTACTTTAAAACTGGCAATGTGACGATAATCTTTCACTTAATTATATATAAATGAAATTGCAAATACATATATAACACAGCAGATTTTTATAAATAAATTATTCTAAGCGATTAGCCTCTAGAAACATAATTCATACACATGCACGCACACTTATATATTTTTACATACCTTCAGATTTCAATATGAAATAATATCCTTTTTATTTCTTTTTACATAAAATACAGACTTCTTTTGTTTTTTCCAATACCTATTGCGTTCAATTTTTCAAATAGAAATATTTGCCTGTTGCACTTTTACCCAATGCAATAGCAATTCTTTTATCAACCGCGTCTAGTGAGAATTTTTTTCCGAGAAACAAAATATTTCAAGCGGAAGTATCCTTTTTTTACACGCAATACTTGTTACAGCGACTGTTTAAAGAATCAACAATTCCCGAGCAACGTGCGTTTCCATCCGTAAACGAAATAAAGAATAAAAAATGTGTCTTTGGCAGTCCCAAGTATGAAACTCATTTCGCGCGCTAACAGTTTGCGAAATAATAGAACGTTGACAAACATGCGTGAAGAAAAATCCGAGAAAATCACAGAATTGCTGCCGTACAGTGAAGCGAGCGATATACACCCACACATACACATACCCACACACAGAATGTTCCAACGAAATCGCAGGAAACAAGAAAAAAAATATGTTGTATTCTGTACGAGCAGCATCGCGCAAAGACCGGAAATAGTCGGTCGAAATATAGGGTTGCGCGTTCGTGGATTGAGCGCAGAGTGTATGTGTATAGCCGTTTCCACATTCGTGAGAATGAACTCCGTATCCAAATTTAAATAAAAGCATCCCGTTGTTTTTATACTTTTTTTATCCTGCAATTATTTCTTATAGGTTTTACGAACCTCTCATTTGCTTAAAATTAAATTACCCTTACATTTTTATTTCTAATTGTATGATAATTTGTTAATGTTTTGAATATTTATAACTACCAGTACATAATATTACTGTCTCTGATATAACATTTATTGTTACGTTACGATGCATTTCGTTTTCTTACTATCTTATCTGGTAATCTCCAAAACATTTAAAAGGTTTAGAATTTCTTTTAGCGAATGTAAACTTAATTAAATTAGATAAAAATACTTTGTTTTTCTCTCTCTCTCTCTCTCTCTCTCTCTCTCTCTCTCTCTCTCTCTTTTACAGCGTAAGACTTTTATTTTGTTGTTTTTATAGCATTTTATTTAGTTTATTTATTTCATTACCGAGTTTAAATTTCGGTTTTGACCTCGTAGAGTAGTGTGTTTGAGCGTTTACGTTCTGTAAGTTTTATTCTTCCTTTATCGCTCATTACAAGAAGGAAGATAAAATACAGCGCGTAAAACGTTCAAATCAAACGTAATCAGAGAATAACATCTCGACAATAGAATGTCGAATAGAAAAACAAATGAGGTGTACAAATAATAAAATACACCGATCATAAATCTGCGTATCATTGTTTCTCGCATAAAATCCTGTGCATCTCCTTTATTCGATTTTGCGACAACAATCGATGCAGCTAGTAGAAAAGTCTACGACGTGCCACATTATCCGCTTTGACAGTCAAAAGTGATGCAGCCGTATTTAAAGTTGCGCGACGTTATACGGTCAGGTGCGCTCTCTGAATAATGCAGAGCACGCCTAACCGCTATGAATCAGCATCAGACGAAATGGATCCTCCCGTTGTAGCTCATACTTCTTCTCTATCTTTTCATCTCCGTAAAGATTTAACATAAGCAACCGCAAGATGCTGCCATAAGGATACGTCTGTTTTTCGCGTTTTTCGTGTCAAACATTTTTTTATTTATTTATAAAAAAGATAATTTTATATGTACAAATCAAAAGTTTGGAAGCACTTTTAAAAAATTGACGTTTTTGGGATTACTTATTCAAATATCCACAAAAATGTGTTTTTTTAAACAATAATTCTTTAAATCTAATAACCGTTATTTGATTACTATTTAAAAAATGAAGGATTACTATTAAAAAAATACATATTGTTATGAATATTTAAACAAGTAATCCCAAAAAAATGTGTCAATTTTTTATATAAAGAATTACTGTTAAAAAAGCACATTGTTATGAATATTTGAATAAGTAATTTAAAAAATGTCAATTTTTAAAAAGTGCTTCCAAACTTTTGACATGGAGTTATATCCTCCTATATCTTATTATTTTCGTGTAATTATGTGCGAATTTACTTTTACGAAACGCTGTTCAATTCAACAATTTCAAGCTGTTATTTAATTATACACAGATATAATTCATATCTGCATATATTCCATAAAAATAAAAATAAATTCGCATCTGAAAAAGAGGATGCAGATATAATTATTTATATAAACTTATACCAAGAAAAGATCAAAGTTTAAAAAACAACGACGACAAAATAACACAAGAAGCGAGTTCTCTTTTGCAATTAAAGCTAAAATAACAATCGAATAAAGAGGTATTGCCTCTATTGTGAGAAATCATAATTAAATGAAGCACCTCGCGAGATATTCGTAATCTGAAAGAGTCGTCGGAGAAATGGACTGCATTCCTGGTTTTCTTGTTATTTCTTTCCTTTCTTTTTTTTTTTAGCTTAAACGCCGTATAGTAATTAGGCCACTCGTACAGGCCATCTACAGAACAAAGAACGACCAACAATATTTTCCAACCGAAACAAAAATGGACAAAGGATTTCGTCCGTCGCCGTTAATCAACGTCTGATGAGATGGCTACAATTCAACTCGACTCCACCATGTCGCTCTTTAAATACTCTTGTTCTACGTGTATTTGAATTCAGAGATAAACGGCGTGTCCATTTCAAAGCACAAAGGGTGACCTGAAATGAGGGTGGCGTATTAACATTTTGTTAATAAAAAAAAAAGAAAAGAGAAAATAAAAGAAAAATCAGAAAAATAGTCAGCCTGTTTCTTGGACGACTCTTTCAGATTGTGAATATATCACAATTCTTTTTTCTCGCGATACATGTATGCATTAAAAAGAACAGTTCTGTGTTTTTAATTTGAGAAAGAAATGCACTTAGTAACGGATATGTTGTATGTCATATCCTAACTGTAAAAGCCACGATTTGAGAAAAGGGGAAGGGGAATGTGCGACATGGTAGGAAGAATAAATAATAAGTCTCGTTACCGAGAGTTTTCGGTCCGGCTTTCCATCCAGGGAAATTAGCCCCACTGTCATGAAACTCCAATTATACTTGTGCTCCAGTGTCTGCACGAAATTCGCGTATTCCCGAAACGCTCGAATTTCGTATCAGCGGAAAAGAATTTCAAATAGAATAAATAAGCATATTTTTTTAAGCAAAAAAACACACGATAACAGATAAATGACCAAAAGGCGACTCAAACGATATTAAAATGATCACCGCGATTTTCTCAACTCCGATCTAAAATCTGTTACTAAAATACTTGAGACATTACGTGCATCAGTATAGAGATTCCGAAGGGTCTGAAATACCAAAAGTCCGTGAGATTGATACTGCCCGCAGAAGCATCCACACGCAAACGGAAAAACTTTTTCCAATTTCACCTTTGGGAACGAACCCGTAACTCGCCACGAGACTGGAGACGGTTATCTTGAACCTAAAAACTTCTTCTATAGTACGAAGAAGAAAACGGGTTCTATGCATGATTTTCCTCTATATGTGCAGAAATTCTATGTGAGAACAATAAAACGTCCGTTTTAGTTTCAGACACTGGTGCGCGTCTTTGTAAAATTAATATTAGCCAATCTTAACATCCTATTTATTATTAAATATCAAAGATTGTACGTCGATCTGATGTCCTTTACATTATATATCTTTAAATTATTTTTTAATGTAAAATTATTTCCTTTCTTGGATCAGCAGTGAACCCCGTCAATGCATGTATAAACGCGGAGTCTCATTCACTTTAATACTCCTGCATCAATATTCGATGTGCCGCATAACAACTTCTGCAGTAATACCATTTGAATAACAATGAATATTTCGGGTGAAATACGTCGTCAACGTCTTGTGCAAATACCTAGGAATGAAGCAGGTTCGTAATTATTAATCGCAGTTGTTGGAGAAGTAGAAAATCACAAAATTTCACACGGCGGACAATTGGTGGTAAAAAGATCTATGATGGTAACGAAATATAACTGCGGTAAATCTCCTTTAAGTTTCATGGCAATCTTCTTAAATTTTTTCTCTTGAAGAATCGAAGGGATCGATCTCGGGTGACTCGTTCTCGGGTACCATATCTTCGGGACTCTTCTTTGGTTACTTCTTACGTTCTTCCGCCGCAGCGAATATCTCTCCGAACAACAATTCCGAAGAACGCGGCGGAGTGCGGTACTTTTCCGGTATATCTCTTTTGTTCATTCTAGGACTTTTTTTTATTCTCACTTTCAACAAGTTTCCGGAAGACACGCGTTACTGTCGAGAGCGGCTTTCAACGGTGATCCGCCTTAACAAACTGACTGCCGAGCTATGACTCGGTACGCGATTACTTTATGATCGATAGCATCGTTTTATTAACTACTA